TGAGTAGAATATCAACTCTTTTATGAATGTTTGGTAGAATTCACCATTAAAACCATCTGGACCCGGACTTTTTTTGTCAGAAGTTTTCAATGACTTTATGAATTTCTTCTTTTGCTACAGATCTGTTCCAAGTTTTCTATTTCAGTCTGTTAGTTTAGGTTGGTTGTTTCTAAAATTTTGTCCATTTCTTCTTGATTTTCAAATTTGTTGGAGTACAGTTCTTTGCAATGTTGTTATAATATCCTTTAAATTTCCATTTGTTCTGTTGTGACGGTACCCATATGATTTCTTATTCATGTTATTTGCATCTTCTCTGTTAGGTTTTCCAATGGTTTGTTAATTTTATTAATCTTTCCAAAGAACCAATTTTTGTCTTGCTAATTTTGTTTCACTTATTTCTGTTCTAGCTTAATTTTTTTCTTTTTCTTCTTCTGGTGGCTGTAGGCTTAATTTGCTGCTTTTGTTCTAATTGTTGGAGATGTTGGGCTATGGTTTTGATTTTTTTTTTTTTTTTCTTCTTTTTGGATGTGTGCATTTACTGCTATAAACTGTCCTCTGAGCACTGCTTTCACTGTCTCAAAGGTTTTGTATATAGTTTTCTGTGTTGTTTGATTCAAGCAATGTATGTATTCCTTTTTTTATTTGTTTTATTACCCAACAGCTTTTAAGCAGGGTGCCATTCAGTTTTCATGTACTTGATTTTTTCCTTTTAATCTTACTGATTTCTAATTTTATAGCATTATGATCTGAAGAAGATGTTTTGTAGTATTTTGATGTTTTTAAATGTATTGAGGTTTGCTTTGTGGTCTAATATGTGGTCTGTTCTGGAAACTGCTCCATGTGTACTGCAAAAGAGTGTATACTGTGCTGTTGTTGGGTTGAGTGCTCTGTACATGCCTGTGAGGTCAAGTTGGTTGACTGTGTTGTCTGGTGTGTCTGTGTCTTTGCTGTTTCTTTCTAGTTGTACCGTCCTTCATTAAAAATGCTGTATTAAAACTTCCTACTATTGTTGTGGAGTTGTCTGTTTCTTCCTTCAGTTGAATTAGAGTTTGATTTATGTATTTTGAGGCTCTTTCACTAAGAGCATAGATATTTATTACGGTTAAGTCCTCTTGTTCAACTGAGCCTTTAATCATGATATAGTTAGTATCCTTTGTTTCTTATGTTGGTTTTTGCTTTAAAGTCTATTTTTATAAGATATTAATATTGCCACTCGTTCATTTTTTATTGCTGTTAACTTGATATATTTCCCCCCCATCCTTTGATATTTGGTCTATTTTTGTCTTAGCTTGTAAGGTCTGTCTCTTATAGAGAGCATATTGAAGAATCCTGTTTTCTTATCTATTATTACTCTTGACTAGTGCATGTAATCCATCTACATTCAGTGTAATGATCAATAGGTATGAATTAATTGCTGTCATTTTGCTGTATGTTTTTTAGTGGTGTTGCTGGTTTTTATGCTTCACTAATTTTCTGTGCTAAGTTCATTTTGTTTGTGGGTTTTCTTTGTTGCTGCTGTTTTAATGCTCATTAACTCTTTCTGATTAAATCTTTTTAATTTTGATGTGAAGGTATATTATTTTTCTTTGAGGTTACCCAATAATTTATTAATTTCTTCTCCAGTTTAAAACAGTCTGTTTATGTTGAAATTTACTTGACTTCCTCCTTTAGGAAATTCTGTGTCGACACTGTTTCCTCTTTGTGTTTTGTAGTTGTCTTCATTATTCATAAATATCTTTGGTTCCCTATTTTCAGTCTTGGGGGTTTGTTTCACTTAAATACTTCTATATCTGAATTTAGTTTTGGGTGGTGTTTTCAGTCTCAAGTTGTCACCTACTGTTTTGGTTCTCAGTCCAAAGAACACCCTTTCGTATGTTTTATAAACGTAGTCTGATTATTACAAATTCCTTTAATTTCTGCTTATCTGCAAACATACTCATTTTGCCATCATGTTTGAGGGACAACTTTGCTGGATGTATGATTCTTGGTTGACTATTTTTTTTATTTCAGAGTTTTGTATATATCAGTCCATTGTCTTCTTGCCTACAAGGTTTCTGCTGAGAAATCAGAGCTTAGTCTGACTGGTTCCCCTTTATAGGTAATGTTTTGTTTTTCCTGAGCTGCTGTCAGTAGTGTTTCCTTGTCTTTGGTTTTGACAAGTTTGATTATGATGTATCTCATTGATTTTCTCTTGGGGTCTATCCTGTTCAGTGTTCTTTCAGCTTCTTGAACATGTATCTTCTCATCTTTCGTGATGTTAGAGAAGTTTTATTCCAAAAGCTCTGCCACAGTTTTCTCTCTTTCTGTTCTGGAACTCTAATCACCTATAAATTATTCTTCTGCATGGTATTCCACATAAATCTTAGGTTTTAGTTGGAATTATTTCCTTCTTTTCTCTGATTGTTCTTTAAGCTTAACTAGTTTTGAGAGATTTATCTTCAAGTTCACTAATTTGGCTTCCACTGAGTCAAATCTACTCCTTTGTGACTTTTCAAGGTGTTGACCATTTCTGAAATCTTAGAATTAATCTTCTGAGTTTCTTTTTGTAGGTTTTGTATTGTTTCAAATTTTTCATTTATTTTGTTTGTTTTTGGAGTGTTTTCCTGATTTCTTCTAAACTTTTTTCTGTGTTCTCTTTGCTTTCTTCAATCTTTCTTGTAATCCAGTGAAAATACCTAAATATCACTCTTTTGAATTCTTTCTCAGATAGTTCAACTACCTTTTGTTTTCCTCAGAAAAATTTACTGGCTCTGCATCTTGGACATTTGGTTGAGTCATTCTCTCTTGTTTCTTAATGTGAATTGAAATTGTTGTCTCCGAGACCTTGTGGTATCACTGTGCATGTATTTAATTGTTTGTTGTATTCTTAGGTTCTCACCAACTGCTTGATGTTGATGTATTCTTAGGTTCTCACCAACTGCTTCCTGGTGGGTGTTATTAGAGAATAGAAGGATGTGGCCAGTTCTCCAATCGCTGTTTGTACAGCTCAGTTTAGGGAGAGTTTGGCTGGTATTGGCTGCTGATCAGTTGGTACACCAGTTAGTACTGGCTCCTGCCCAGTGGGTGGGACTGCAGAGGGTATAGTTGTGTCTGGGCTGTGTGGACACAGATTCTGTCTCCTTTTGGATGGGACAAGAAGAAAATACACAAACACATAAGATAATAAAACAAAGCAAACAAGCAAACAGTAGTGAAAAACGAAAATAATCAAGGAGAAAAATAACAGTAAAAAAACCCTCCCCCCCAAAAAATAGGCAGCAATAAGAGAAAGCAATGTAATAGCTAAAAGAGAAAAAAAGGAGAGT